CTTTCTTTCTTTCTTTCTTTCCTCTTTCTCTTTCTTTCTTTCTTTCTTTCTTTCTTTCTTTCTTTCTTTCTTTCTTTCTTGTTTTTTTTTTTAAAGAAACAAAGACCAGTTTTGTTTCATTGGGGGTCGGGTGAGAGTTGGGGAGGCTAGATGCCTATCTAGGTCTTCTGAGGTCTTGGGTCCCCTATTCCTGGTCCTTAGCGTCACTGTGTGTGATGACATAGCAGATGTTCTTGTAGTCTACGTTACCGCTCACATCTGGAGGGAAGGCTGCCCACATGTTCTTGATCTTCTCCTGGGAAAATCTGTCACACTGTGTGATAAGCAGCTCCTCCAGGAACTGCTTCTTGATGGTGCCCTTCCCCTCTGGGTCCAGGACCCTGAAAGCTCCAGTGATCACGTCCTCAGTGTCTGCACCCTTAAGCTTTTCTCCAAACATGGTCAGGAAGACAGTGAAGTTGATGGGCCCACTGGCCTCCTCCATCATTGCATCGAGTTCCTTGTTCTACACATTGAGACAGCCTGAACAGAGTGAGCAGCAGGGGTTGGAGTTGGGTGCTGGGGACCAGAGTTCTACTTCCCATAAACATATATCAACTTATTCCCTTTTCATGTGGGCAGATTGAAGCCTGAAGCCGCTGGATCCCCCCAGCTTTCCGTAGCTTTCACTGTTTATGGATGGGAGTATGGGGCTCACCCATGGCGGCAAAGGTGTCCCGGAGATCCTCCTTGTCAATAATGCCATCGACCCGTTTTGAAATGGGAAGTTGGTCCCTGTTAGAAAGATCTTTGTTTATATGGGAGTGTTTCTGTCCTGGGGGACATATTGCCTGGTTCCCCCAGAGGTCACACCCCAGACCTCTGGGTCTGTCTCTGTTCTGTTTCTTCCTAGTTTGGGTAGTTTATATTTGTTTGGTTTTGAAACAAGGTCTCATGTTATAGCACAGGTGCAAGAAATCTTCCTGCTTCAACCTCCTGAGGAGCCACTCACCCTGGCTCCATACACGCCCCCGCAAGTCACATGACTAAGTTGCACTCCATGCCCGAGTTAGAATGGAGGATTTTTTTTTTTTTCTTTTGAGACAGGGTTTCTTTGTGTAGCTTTGGAGCCTGTCCTGGAACTCACTTTGTAGACCAGGCTGGCCTTGAACTCACAAGAGATTCCATCTGCCTCTGGGATTAAAGGCATGTGCCACCACTGCCTGGCTAGAATGAAGGATTTTAAAAACATCCAGTCTGGGTCATCTGCCCTACTGTCCTGGTCCCTGGCTGTGCTACCAAGGCAGTGTGATACTGGTGGACAGTGTGGCCAAAAGCCTGTGTCAATGACAGTGTATTTAGTACATACCCACACAGTCCTAAGTTTCCCTGTTCATTCATGAGAGTTTGGGGCTCAGAATGAATGGCCACTAAGCTTCCCCCTCAGCACAGAGCCTAGCTAGCTAGGGTAGGAAGTTCCCAGCAGAGTGGTTAGTCTCATGTTAATGATTAACAGGCAGGGGTTAGGGGGTGTGTAGCTTGATTCTATGAAGAAGCTCCAGCTGATCTTTCTGGCTAGCTGCAAGATACTGCCAGGTCAGGGCCTCATTGCAGCCCTAGAGATTGCTCAAGTGCCAGCTAGAATTGAGGTCTCCATGGATCAGCTCTGGTAGGCTTGAAGACCTTTCTTGAGGTCCCTATATCAACTAGCATTGTTCCAGTCCTCTGCAATACAGTGCCTTTTTATTGACTTCTTTGCTGTGCTACAAAGTAATAAACATGGCTTAAATTTTCAAAAATTTTAAATTGGTCTGGAGAGATGGCTCAGCATTAAGAGCCTGTATTGTTCTTGTAGAGGACTGGAGTTCTGCTCCCAGTACCCACATCAGGTAGATCATAGCTTACATGTATTTCTAACTCCAGGGTATCCAGTGCCCTCTCCTGGTCTCTAAGGACACCTGCAGTCATGTGTACATATCTACACACACACACACACACACACACACACACACACACACACACACCCCTAAAAATTTTTTAAAAAATAAATATTAATGTTTCTGAAAACTATCAGAGGTCAGACACTGTAAGGCTCTTCCTCATTCCCACCACTGCCCCAGCCAGGCTTTAGGTACAGGGGCCAAGGACTCTCTGTGATTCCTATGTCCCCTTCTCATGACAGCCATTGGTACCTCTTCCTTGTGTCTTTTGTAAACAATGGGCTGGGAGGGCTGTGGTATGGTGCAGTGGTGAAGTGCTTACCTAGCATGCCCCAAGCCCTGGGTTCATCCCCACCAGAGCAGAAAGTAGAGCACAGTCTCAGTGTCATGTGACTGCAGTCCTGTGGAAGCATGCTCATCCTATAATGCTACATATATCTTGCAATGCCCACACTCCCCCTTGCAACCTCTGGCACTGCCACTGCAGCCAGAGCATTTGCAATGCCATGGCCACTGTCTGTTTAGTGTGAGCTTCCATTGATGGGTCAGGCAGTATAGCAGGATTCATTTCTGAGAATTAAGATTAGGCTCTCACGTATACAAACTACCTGACCTAGTCTGTTGATTTCATTGCAGTATTTGCATCCTGCTTTGGAAGTTCCATCCTAAGCACAAGGTCTGTTTGGGTGAACAGATTTCACCAAGTGGCTGGGGCCAGTATGAGTCTCCTGGTGGGGATTTGGGATCCTTTTGGGAAGGGCTGGATAACTTTGCAGGTCACATGTCTCCCTTGCAACTATTTAGCTGGTTATGCAAGACCTGAGTGAATGAACATGGCTCCCTTCTAATAAAACTTTATTAAGACAAAGACAGACAGCAGGCTGGATCTAGGTCTCAGCCAAATCTTTTGATATATGTAGCTGCTGGGTCCCTGGAGACCTAGGCTCCTCAGAGTAGTCATAGGGTGGCTGCAGGAAGAATAGGGCCAGCCCTTCCTAGCATTTTGTCATAGCTTACTCACATAAGGAGGGAGGCTCAGTAGAGAAACTGGAGTAAAAGGGGGAGGTTCTGACTTGGACGAGGGACTAGTCTGATGTCTGTCTGGGAGAAGAGACGTGGAATTTGAACCCCAAAGTCTCAGTCCTGAACTAGGCAGAATGGGGGGGTGGTGGTTAGGAGGACTGAGAAAAGCTTAGCAGTAAGAAGCTTACTATTGCTTACTGTTGGCAAGGCGGACAGGAGGGAGGGAGTGGGGGCAGTACTGGAGAGATGGCCTATAGCCAGGCCACATGAGGCTCAGCCAGATGTAGGGAGGAGCTGGGCTTCACCCTGACAGCTTGGGATGTCACATGTCTGGCCACGGAGAGCAGGGAGACTGTCAAAAGCCAAGAGGATGGTAATATGTCGGGATTATGGTATCTAAAACAGGCCAAAGCAATCAGCTCAGGACTAAAACCCAGGCCCCAACTGTGGAACTAAACATTCTTATGATGTTGTTGCTTCATGCATCCATCCCCTAGAGAAGCTCCTATTATCCCTCAAGGCCTAATCCAAAATGCCCCCATCATTGTGACCTTTCAAGGGGCAGTAACACCATATTAGGCTATACTTGTTACTATAGTATCTCCTCATTGAGGCCTGGGAAGATGGGGACAGAGTGCATGCTTCTGAATGCTAGGTACATTTAAACAGGATATTGAATCTGCTGGGGTAGAGATTTCTGATGAGCTAACACTTTGAAGAAATTGAGGGGGCTGGAGAGATGGCTCAGTGGTTAAGAGCACTGACTTGTTCAGAGGACCCCAGTTCAATTCTCAGCACCCACATGGCAGCTAACAACTGTCTATAACTCTAAGATCTGACACTGTCACACAGACATACATGTAGGCAAAACACCAATGTGTATAAAATAAGAATAAATAAATTACAAAGAAAAAAAAGAAATTGAGACTCTGGGGGCTACGAAATTTGCCAGAATGGTAGGAGTAACAACTGATTTCTGTCTGGGCTAGACATTTCTGCAGAAAAATCAGCATTTGCCATGTCTCCCCACCAGGGCTTTCCTTGTACCTATTCAGACATTTGTTATGAATCTGCCAGGCACTGGAGCAAGATGGAGACACACCATGTTCAGGAGGATGAAGTCAAAAGATAGAGGCTTTTGGTTTGCAGGGACTTATCACACCACCACACCACTTGCTCATGGGAAAGCTCACCCCATCTAAAACTCAGCCTGGCCAGCTGTGTGCCCTGGACCTGGGCTGGGAGGAGTGCCTGGAATTCCTGGTGGACGTAGATAGGGAGGCTGGAGCCTGCTTCCCCAGGGTTCCTGAAACTGGGCCTGAGGATCCTTTTGATTGTATTTAGCATCACCTATTTTTAGAGGACAGCTGGGTCAGAGTTGGGGGTTTTCTTCTGGCCCCCAACAAGTAGCTATTGCAGTCCTGTCTACTGCCACCTCCCTACCTCACCCTAGCTAAGCGGATGCTAGATGTGGCCACAGTGTCTGTGTATGGGAGCTTTTGTAGCTCTGAAGTGAATGAGGAGTGGCATTACTTCACACTTTTACCCATACCTCCCCAGTGGCCACTGGTCCCAGGCATCTTTAAGTGTTCTCACTGATCCTTGGTTATATATGCTTGGCAAAATGTTCATTTCCATCCTTTTCCGATTGCTGAAAATCAGCCTTCTTACTGATGAGCAAGAATTCTTTATGGGAGACAAAAACTAGAGTATTATCAGATCTGATATGCAAATGTTTCTTCCCCATCTAAGATCTCTATTTTGATCTAGGTCTCACCGCACAGCCCAGGCTGGTCTTGAACTCAGGAGCCTCCTGATTCAATCTCCTGGGTTTTGGGATTACACAGACACGAGTCACCACACACAGCCTGGGTGTTTTTAACATTGCCAGTGTGTACAAGATGCCCCCACATTAGTGGCTCCTTGCAGCCTTCCCACTCCCCTCAGGAAATGGTCTTGCTGGTGGGGTGTTCAGGGTGGGTGTTTGGTTTGTGTGTATCTTCCTGTTCTGTCCATGTATATGTGGGCATTCTACCAGTGTTGGTACTGGGCACCTTGCCTGCCTTCTGTGTAATAAACAGTATACACGTGGGGATCAGCAAGCTATGAGAGCTTGTAGATGGGTGGGGAGAGGGTGAGGAAGGGCCCAGCTTCAGTCTCCTCCTCAGTAAATGGGGCCCGAAGTAACCCCGCCCACTTCACAATGTTGCCCACTGGACTGGGTACCAGTAAAGCCCTCTACGATGCTGATCATTGTTGCTTCTAGCGCGTCACTCGCCGCAAAGGGTGTGTGGGTCCGTTTGGCGAGAAATAAATCTCTTTCCACGAGATCTGGGACAGGCGCGTCAGAGCCCTGGAACCACTTGTTGCTCCTCCTCTGTTTGGGGATGCAAAGTTTTGTACTCCGAAGCCAGTCAGGATTGGCGCAGATTGAGGTTTTTGGTGCGTTCTACCTGTTGTGCTTACACGTGAAGAAGGGCTTGCACCCGGTGCAGCAAGCCAAGAGCAGAATCTGCGCTCCTCCC